TTATTGTCCAAGCTCCATAGGGTTCATTGGTGGCTAGGAGATACTGATGCTCCTACTGTCTTCCTGAAAATAAAAGAGCTGAGGACTGCCCACTTCCCGACCTATTAACACTGGTGCTCTGTGAGCCCTTTGGGGAGATGTTTGGCAGAGATGTTTGGCAGATGTTTGGTTTATGCCCCCATCTTCTGGATATAGCCAAGCTCATTTTTTTAAACGTTTTTCATATGTTTTGGGTTTGCTCAGTGATAACAAGTCTAGATTTCTTTTTTGAGAAGGATTTCTTAACAATTGCATATGCCTAGTGGCAAGTACATGAAAAAACACTTTTTCTGACTCATGACAAAACCAATGGGTCAGTTGTCTAAAAGCATCAAAACGGGAATTCCTTTGTATATCATGATGTAAATAATAGAGGGATGGACCGTGTGAACATTCTCAAACAAGTTTGCCCTTGGCTTCATAATCAAGACATTTTACCTACCCACAAAGTAACTGAGTCATAGAAATGCCTTGTATCCACTGAATATGTTAAGATGCTTAACATGCCTTATCGATATGTTGTTACATTTGTAGGTAGCCATGATCAGGATATCATTTATATTAAATGATGGAGGAAGAGCCAGTGAGCATTTGGCATGTAGACACTGTTATATACTCTATATTATCTCATTTAGTCTACACAATAACGCTGCAAGAGAGGTATTACTATCTCCATTTTGCAGTTTAGGAAACTATGACTTTCTATGACTAGGCTGGTAAGTGGAAGAGCTAACTCAAAAATCCTCATGTTTTCCAAACCACAACAATTAGAAAGAGAGCAGACCTTTTTAATTCCTTTCATGGATGTGTAGGAATTCACCAATTCAAGAAATATATGTACTCAATCATAGGAGTCATCAGGACAAAGCCAGAAAACACAAAGTTACCACGACCCTATAATCAGAACCAAATAGAAATGATGCGATAAGAAATACTTTTACAGGATTTGCAACCTTAAAGATAGTCAATCTGTGAATTCCAAATTAGACCAAGGAACATCATGAAACCACCATTCAGGTTTTTTCTACCATGCTAAGACATTCTGCTAATTACGCAGGTAAAGGCTTAATAAATTTGGGGTAGTAATATTATTATTTACTTTTGTTGGAAACTGTTCTTCCCTAATTCCAGTGACTGCTACAAAGGGGACTGTCAATTATGGAAGCCCTCCTCTCTGGCTGCACAACTGGGTTTGTGAACTGCTGAACTAACTATGGTACCCCACACCTCTGGCCACAGTGCCTGATCCAGAACTGGGCATAACTCATCCAGAGTTCTTTCTCAGAATGTTTCTAGATGGTGGAGAGTGCTCTCTCCTACTGGGTTGTGAGAATGGGAGCCATGGCTGTGACCAATGGCCGTGGGTCCACCCTTAAAGGAATAGCCTGACTTGGAAACTAGACAAAACCACAGAGGAGAGTGGTGGTAGGGAGATGAGAGGGGGAGAGAGTGAGAGCATGAGAATAGAGTGAGAGAAAGAGAGAGGGGGAGAAGAAGAGGAAGGAGGAGGAAGTGGAGGAGAAAGGAGGACATTTAGAAAGACAGATAGTGAGAGACAGCATGGACGCACCCGACTAACCCCCACAGACTGCAGTTAGAATTTTTGTATTCAGACAATCCACATGCAAGTTCCATCCCTGCCCTTCTGTGCTTTGACTGTCTAAACAATGCCATTCTTTTTGCTTAAGGTATTTGGAATTTTTTTTTATTATTATTCCTTACAATGATAAGCTTAAGCTATGTAGGAAAGCATGTTCATTACTTCATAAGCTAAGTTCTTATTCCCATGTCTGGGAGAAATGCAGTGACGTAACAAGTCAAATCAGCAAATATTTATGGAGACCAGAAGGATGAAAAGGCACTGTGGCTTAGTGACAGTGAGAGCTACATCAGAAATGAACACGCAAACATCTCACTGGGAAATAAAGACTAAAATGCAAATATCAAAATTGTTATGGTATAAAATAAAAACAGACACATTATTAGGCATCATCATAGTATAAAACCGACTAAACAAAATACGCAGATAATAAATACAGAGTACAGAGAAAGGAACAATCAGGTCGGGGATGCAGATACCCATTTTAGGTATCTGTAGTGCTATGTGAAGTTCTACTCAGATCATCACAGATTGTACCAGAAGTTGAACACATTTAACTGACCACATCCCGCTTCCTATCGATGTCTGAGGGTACGAAGCATTCCTAAAATACCCTTCCATTTACCTACAGAAAATATGATACAAAGCTTACACTAGGGCAAGGCTGCCTTATGGGTGTGGTTTGTGCACTTTTGGAAGGGCTCTGTACTTGCTGCCTTGAAATTGTTTAATAATTTTTTAACAAGGGGCGCCCCACATTTTCATTTTGCACTGTTTCCTGGAAATGGTGTCACTGGCCCTACGCTAAGGAAAGGGACAAAGTTTTTCTACAAATAAGTCAGACCAATGGTCTTGCTTATCAGAGCAGCCTATCTGCCGGGAGGTGTAACAAATTTCAGAAGTTAAAGGGCAGAGAAGCACAGGCTCACCTGCCACACAGTCCTCCTTAGCCCTTTGTTAAAAGCAAATGATACTGAACGATGGGAAGTCTGCAGTGAAGGGCACTTGTAATCTGCCAATTCACAACACCGCCACCAAGGGGTGAGCAAAGTCACCAAAGGTTGCGTCAAAAAGCAGAATCACCACGGGTTGAGTCAAAAAAGCCACAGTATAGTCCTAGAACATGACAAGCACAGGATGAAGTATAAAAGCAGCATCTGGTTGATTTTACGAGATACCCAGTGAAGAAAAGCTAGTTTTGGTCATGTTAAACGCATAAAATATCATGGAATAGTGGCTTGGTATCAAAGTGTTACCCTAGAGACACAACTCTACTCATGGAGCACAGGCTGGATGAGACTGAGTCTCACTGGGGAGCTGTGCAACTGAATTAGTCAGTCTCAACAGCTCCCCTGTGATGACATCTCACCAGCTCATGTACACATGCACCAAGTAAAGGAAAACTACGAGAAAAGTGTCCACCCACCTTCTTGTCCCAGGACTTCCCAAGGAACCACCACAGGAACACGCCAGCCTTCTGCTATGATTTACGTACTTCCCTGATGTGCCATCAGAACAGTTACTCCAAAACTACAGCGCCAGCAGTTCTGTCTTGTTCACGCCTATCTCCTCTCACTTCCACTCTCATTTAGGACTCTAGCCCCTGCCACCAAGCTGTACGTGGTGAAATACTCATCTGTCAAGGGAACCTGGATGGCTCGAGTCGGTTGAGCATCTGACTCTTGATTTCGGCTCAGGTCATGATCTCAGGGTGGTGAGATCGAGCCCTGTGTCAGGCTCTGGGCTCAGTGTGGAGTCTGCTTATCCTTCTCCCTCTGCTTTTCCCCCTGCTCTCTCTCTCAATTAAATGAATGAATGAATGCATGAATGAATGAATGAATGAATATCTTAGAAGAAAAAGAAATAGTCATCTGTCAGATTTGTGCATTTGTGTGACTGAGTTATCGGCCCTTTTCCAGGGGAATAAGTCGAGATTAGAGATGAAAAAGGCCCATGGAGAGGGACCAGTGAGGGACATAAAGGGACGTTGTAGGTAATGTGCTGAAGTCAAAAAAAGGTTCCTCTTTACAATTTTCCAAACTTACGGTCCTTGCTTGGTAAAAAAAATTTTTTAAAGGTAATATATAGTTAAGTTTGAAGGACATAAATGACAATGTAAGTGTGCTTGTATTTCAGTAATTATCTCTCCTATCTCACCTGCATAGACTTTTGACTAAAACTGCATCTTTTAGGTTAACCCATAATGATGCACTTTGGAGTAGAATACTCTTATTGTCTTTAGAGTGGATATTTAAAGTATTTTCCCTTCTGTTCAGACCACTCTCTTTTTCCATCTACTATTCACTGAGGTATAAAGTTTTTTCTTTGAAAACACCATGGAATCTAACTAATTAATTGTATGAGTTAGCACTCATAACACAGTCTATGTGCTCAAAAAAAGCCAGCAATTAATTTCAACTGATTTAAGGATGTGTCCTATCAGAATATAGTTACAAATGAAAACTAGGTACATAATCATGGTTTTGTATGTAAGGAAGACAATAAGCAGAAACTGTGGAATTTTGTGGTATGACAAAGTCCCTTAGGAGGCAAGTGTTCTAAAGATCTAAAGCAAAGTCATTGTTAGTGCAAGGATGTTGGAAAGTATACTAATTGGTTCAGTTTTAGCATTTGGTTTATAGTGCTGATTGTGTTTCGTTTCATTCTCCCAGTAGACTCAGCTATTTGGGGCTCCTGTCCTGGGAGGGCTAGCTTTCCTCCTGAATTAATATTTAATGTGCCTCTATGGAATTTCATAATCAGTGACAAAGACTTTATTTCATATATTAAGAGAAAAAATTTCCCTTCATTCCCGAAAAAGATTTACTTTAGGAAATGTGGTGTAATTCTATAAGAATCCTGAAAGATCTTTTAAAAAAATATTGATCATCTGTTTCTTGGTGACATCAGCCAGAAACTTTAATACAAATGGTGAAATTTGGACAATATCTCATGAATTGAGCAAAAACAAGACAAAACACAAGCGATTTATCTTACCTTTATATAGTCTTTGCTATTGGCCTTTTGAGGTGAGTAGGTTTATCATCTCAGCAGGGTTGTTCCACTCAACTTACATGCTCTGCTTTTTTTGGGGTTTCCTCATCACAGAAGTTGTTTTACCAGACGGTGGTCCTGGCAAACCATTTTCCCAGCTGTTCTCTGTAGCATCATAGCCTCTGTGCCAACCCTTCTTATTCAAACTCCAAATTTTGTCAGTTCTCAGCACCCTGTTAGACTTGCTATCCCAGGTTGAGGGCCATCTAATTATTCATTCAGGCTATAAAAGTTGGCAACCCCAGTGGTGTCACACCTAATAAAATACCAATTTTAAAATGCCATTGTGCAAATGAAAAAAACCTACCTTTCTTGTAGAATGAGTTTGTTCTCTTTCTTCCAAAAATCTTTAAAGTCAGAGCTGAATTCATGCCAGATACTGAAGAAAACATTTGGGGACACCTCCTTCTCTCCAATTTTTGGTTTCATGAAGAAATAGGCTGTAGTCTCCAAAAAGCTGTCAAAGCGCACACACACGAGCATAAAAGCTATGATTACTTTCCAATATGGGATATTCTTTCTCCATCCAAACGGTGATTTCATTTATACACAGTTATTATTACTAAGAAGACTCAAACTCTTCAAGCATCAACAGTAGTCATTTATGGTTTCATGTTAGAGTTTTGGATACAGATAGTGCAGCTGATAAGAATCCTCCATATACTGATAACTATCCTTGGTCCAATTCCATTTTCAGAGTTAATCACTAAGTGCCTGACATATTTCAGAGATAAATCTGAGTCAAGTTGGGACATATTGTAAGTAGCAGGTCTATAATTTTTTTCTACACTCTAAAGAAATGAAATATTAGCCATTTGTCCCCAAACTACTACGTATTCTCTATGTATTTTATATTGCTTACATACAGTTTGGTTTCCTACATTGCTAAGAAGAAAAGAAAAAAGCGAGTCCCAGGACATGGTGACAAAGTCTCTCATCAGATCATGGCAATATCATTGAGTGGATACCAATTTGGCAGCCAGCCCTGTGACAGTAGACTGATCGTGTCAGTCTTTAGAAGGTGCTGCTTCATAATACAACTACATGAAGCTCAGGAGAGTTTCAGAAGGCCTAGTTGACAAAGAACATACAACTGGTAAATGGTAGCTTTATGACTCAACAAAAGTCTTCCATTCCCATAAAAAATGCCCTGAAAAGGACCCAGGCCAATAAAACTGGTAATGTCATAGTGAGGACACCTGGGCTGCTAGTCAGCGTATGGCCAGAGTTGCTGCAAAAAGGAGTGACATTCCAATAACCTTTGCCCACCCTCCTCCCTTTTTTTTTCCCACCCTGGCAGGGGGCCAGCACTTTTGCTGCTACACAAAGCTCAAGTTTGATTGACTCTGAAATAAAAATTTCTAAGGCAACTTGATTTTGCCATATTGCTTTGGTTGATTAAAAATATGTGTTCACACATACGTACATTAACACACATCTGTGTATGTATTCAGTTTGTCATATAGCTGATTTCAAATCCTTATCCTGAAAAATATATGAAAAAATCTCATTGAGATGAGCATTAATAAAATGAAATATGTAGGGTGAACATGCTCAGAAGGTAAAGGAGACTGAGCATCACACACAAAATAAAGAATTCACAGCCACCCTGACTATGACCAATGGGCTAGTCTGTTCTGTTTTTAAACTCGCCTCACGGTAGTCTCTAAGCAGTAAGATTCCCAGGGACACCAGTTTTTAGATTCTGGGGAGAGATGACAGCACGTATTTGACCAAATGTGTAGCTCCTGGGAATTATGTATTTCTCCCTAGTTAGCCTAGTAGGAAAAATGACACAGTAAAGTCAGTCAATCCTGAGAGAGAGTCAGGCTGTTAAGTGGATATGGTATGTGAGAATCTGGCTGCCCTGAGCTATTGTAAGGACATCAAAATTCATCCACAGAAAGTGTTGATGGGGTGAGGACTGCCAGGAGAGTAGATGTCAGGGAGCATGAACTGTCTAAGACATATCTAGGTCATATTTTATTAAAACTGATAAAGCATACACATATTTACCTCCTGAGAAAACCGGTCATTCTCCTTATAAGCCTAAAGACAATTTATGACCTGTATGGCAGAAATCAGGTCTCAAATCCTTGACTACCCATTCATTCTTTTCCATCATTTCCTGGTATTTATGCTTCGTAAATTGATCATTACAGACCAAGCCAGTTTGTTTGGGCAGACATATCTAAGTTGTAATAATTGGTTCATCTCTTTAGCCACTTACAACATTTTGAAAGTTCTATCATGAGACAGCATGGTTTAAAGGAGAGAATATAGGACTCAGAATCATAAACAATTGAATTCCAAAAAAATAACTTCCAAAGTGTTTGTTAAATGCTTCAACACAAAACAAATTTATTTTGTATTGCATATTATTTTCCATTATATATACTGTGTATTCTATATTATGAAATATGAATATATACTTACTAAAAATTTTCTCTAAACTGTAAATAATCCAATTGAGGCTGATTTATTAAAAATCATTCATGTGACCTTGTTCCCTGCAGACATTTTTGAATTATTGGCATGCATAGAGGTTTCTGATACTGGTAGTAATTATTCTAATTATTGAATAATTTCCCCTTGGCTTTGTCATAAATTGCCTACAGAGCTTTAAGAAGGCAGTGACTTTTGAGTTCCAGTTTTGAGCTTTTCAGTTTCTTCATCTATAAAGTGGAGGATATGTCTGCTTTTCAAGGTTATCATAAAGATTCAATGAAAAGTACTCGCATGTTATAAACTAAAATAGCAATATATGTATTAACTTTATAAGAAGCAAGCATTTTTCACTAAAAAATGCTCTCTGTGCAAAACTTAGTGAATTTGTGAGACATACAAGTATCCTACAATTGAACCGCAGACAATGTGTGAAACTGCTGAACAGCACGATTCTCAATGATGATGAGCTATGTATGTAGCCATTTCTTTGGAAATGGCCATGGGGAAAGAATGTGTCTCCTAAGAATGACACATAAAGTGAAGAATTATCTGAGGATCACGAATGCTGTCCCAACTGTATTCAACCACCCCACTCCCTAGAATAAAGCATAAGCACTTTTCAAAGATAACCAAATAAATGATAGGCAATAATTTCTAAAAGTTATCAAGGTACCTTGTATGCCAGAGGCATTTTTGGTTATATAATCCTGTCCGGTATTCGGTGGCATTCAGCTAATGAAAGATACCCATTTACATGGGGGGGGGGTGGAAGGAATAGGTTCCATTCTTTCTGAATTATCCTTTTTTTTTTTTCCCCTAAGTCAGAATCCAGGAGGGTCCCATCCACCAAACAGCAACACAGAACACAAAAGGGGGCAGGCATTTTATCGAGGACCTTCCTCACTACTGGCTGTTCTGTGAGACTCTTGAAATGACCTTGACACACTAGGAGCCAGTAGTGAAAAGAACTGCAGTTCTAACACAAAGAAAATGCAGCCATCATAGCAAGAGACAACTCCAGAGGTCACCAAATAATCAAGACCCTGTAATCAGGATTCCTAAGTAGACCTCTCTGGAAAAGATCAGTCCTACACTTCTTTTACTACAAACACGAAATAGTACACATATACTGCTCGGCAACACAATCAAGGTAGCCCCAGAGTTCTGAAAAGATAGCTCCAGCAGAATTGTTTTGAAATCTCTCTGAATCCCCACATAAAAACAGAGAGAACAACTGAGATATGAAAAACCAAAGCTAATAGAAAAATATCTGCAAAAACACTGTGTCCAGTATCACCACACACCTCAAAATGCAAACAGGGGAGACAAATCATTGACAACACAAAACCCAAGTAGTAATATTGTGTGCATAGGAGGAGGCAAAGGAAAGCAACAGGGGGGCTTCCCTAAAAACAGAAGAACCCCTGAATCACAAACAGGCACCCCTGAAAATTGTGTAAGGGATATCTGAGAAGCGCAGCTGAAACTGGACGGGGTTTTATACACTCTAACGCATGCAAGAGGAGAAAAGATCTGCAGTAAGTTCTGAAAAGGCTGGGAGCAGTCTGAATATATGAAGTGTTAGTACTAACCAAATGTGCAGGCTGTATGAGGTCATTTTTGTTTTTTTCTTTTTTATCACTGTGCACAAGCAACAGAAGAGAAAGCTCTAGAGCAGTAAAGCTTCAAACAGACTAAAAGTGAAAACATAAAATATCAAAATATATGGGAGCAGATAAAGCAGTGCTTAGATATTTGGAACTTTAAAATACCTATAATTAAAAAAATAAAGGTGTAAAAAGAATAATATAGGCATCTAACTCAAGAAACTAAAGAAGAGCAAATTGAACTTGACTAACAGAAGAATGGAAATAATACAAAGAACACAAAACAAAGAAATGGAAAACAAACCTTACAGAAAATTAGCAAGATCATAAACTGGCTTACTGAAAAGTTTAATAAAGTTGATAACCACCTACCATAGCTGATAAAGAAAAAAAGAGAAAATGCAAATTACCCAATACCGTAGATGAAAGTAGGGTTATCATGATGGATCATACAGACCTTAAAAGTATAATATGAGACATTATCAACAATTTTACGCCAAGATGTATTAAAAAAATTGAAAGTACCTTCAGTTATTTCAATAACTGAAACTTATTTCAATAAATAAAAAATTAATTTTTTATAAACTTGTAATCAAAAATATCCCTTTTCAAATACTTGTAGTCCACATTGTTTCCCAGGTGCATTTACGAATATTTAATGGAGACATAATGCCAATTTAACACTAACTCTTTCAGAAAACACAGAGTGAGAGCACATTCTCAACTCATTTTATGAGGCCGGCATTACTCTAATGTTGATACCAAAAAATAAAAACATATGAAAGAAAAATAGAAAGGTTTATAGACCAATATCCCTTGTGAACATAAGTAGAAAATCCTTCATAAAATATTAACAAATTGAATGCAGCAATTTTAAAAATGGATATTACGTCATATACAACTGGAGTTTATGCCAATACAAAGTTGTTTTAACATCTGAAAAGCAATCAGTGTAACCTGTCACATGAGTGGAGTAAAGAAGAAAAGCCATATGATTATTTCAATAAATGAAGAAAAAAATTTGAAAAAATTCAACACGAATTCATTATTATAAAAAGAGGAAAAAACCTTTGTAAGATAGGAATAGAAGTAAACTTACACAATTAGATAAATGACATCTGTGAAAAGCCTATAGCTAACATCATGCTCAAAATTATGCATGCTATATGATTCCATTTACATGAACTCCAAGTATATACAAAATTAATCTATGTTGATAGAAACCAAAATAATGATTGTATCTTCACAGAGGTGTGGGGTAAACAGATTGAGACAACAGAGCTGTTTTGTATCATGTTTGAATGGTAGTTACTCATTGAACTTGTTTTATTGTATAAATTATGCCTCGATTAACAAAGAAAGAATGAAAGTAAGAAAAAAAAGAGAGAGATGGAAGGAGAGT